AAAAAAAAAAAAAAAAAAAAAAAAAAAAAAAAAAAAAAATACCTGTATAAATAATTATTATTTATAATTTTTTGCATTTAATAAAGATTTTATGATGTTATAATTAATTTAATTTCCCGTCATAATTAATATTTGCTATTTAACGTATTTAAGCGTAAAACATTACTCATCCTCTTTTGATTTTATTGCATTGCAAAAATTTTTCAAGCCAACGTGGCGTATGCGTAACATTTATTTAACTGGTCTTATATTGGATTATCACGCAAATACCCACAAAATAGTGTTAAATTAAATAGTTTACGACCGTTAAGCCCTGCGAATTACATTTCACTTCGTTGAATAAATAAAAAAAATGTTTAAATTTCAAAATGTACACTCGTACATTTGCATAAATAATTCAATGTTAAACCAATCCAATAAATTAAGGTGAATAGAAAAAAAGGTGTAGCTGAGTGCTGCCATGGGTATTCTAAGTAATAAAAGTGAATTTCAAAAGTCTTAAATTGCATTTAATGTTTTTAAAATAAGAACTAAGTAAATAAATAAATAAGATTACATCGTTTTAATACTTTAAAGATCGATTTAGTTAATATAATGAATGCGTTTCTTGTGATTATCTATTAAAAGTGAAAGCTATTTATGAAATTCCTAAATAAAGAGAGAAATTTCGTAATAAATTAATTGCTTTTGTGCACAGATTACAGAGAGATATTCGGAATATAATCGACTTATTTTGATATGTGCCTTAAGTAATTTTGCGAGACAAACATTCCTCATACTAAAAATTTTCCAAATGCATTTAAATAAGTACCTATTAACTAGATATAGGGCACTGTAAACTAAAATATCACCATACAAAAGTAGATATAAATACGGATGCAAACTGTAGATTGTAGGATTGGGCCATACATGTGCTGTTAGAATGCCCTGCGTTAATCCACATGCGAAATAGTCTCCTGGGAATGTGTATTATTACCGAAGAGGCAATACTCTGTAAAGTTCTATACTGCTTTTAATGGACGCAACAGGGCTTAGAGACCTACTCTTATCCCAGAAGAGGGCACAACAGACCCGATGGCTGCAGTGCCACACCCCCTAAAAATAGATATAGTAATACTTTAAGCACTAATAGATATACACTATCACTTTTTACTTTTTTTTTGTTGATGAAAAGTATTTTTTTAAACATATTAGCGATATCAACTAAAATTGCTTTAGTTGATATCAATTATTCGATAGCCACAAATTTGATTATAGTTTCTATTACTTATAGACAAAATCCAAGTCCAAAAATCCTAACTTTACTCTAGATATGATATTCCATTAACATTCATCTCACGTTTTCATCTGCCTACTGAAAGATTATTAAGACTTATGCAATTATAGTACGTAATTATGCAAATTTATAAAAAATAAGAATTATAATCCTAGAACAAGTAATGTTTATACCATAGCTTACCTTATAGAATTTCCATGCTATTATGTTATGTTTTTAACAACTTATAAATGCAACTGAGATTTCTTGATCGTAAAAATAAAAGAAATAGTATGGGTGAGAGGTTCTTTTTCAATATTTATAGTCTGCTATTTTGTAAAAGAGACTCTTTGGTTTAAAATAAAATTATTTTAAATTAGGCCTTAAGTAATTTTAAGTATTCGGGTTTAAAATTGAACTTATTAAAAAACCAGATAAATTTATAATAAAATCTAACCAACCCCTCAAAAAAAAAGGTTAGAAAAAAAAAATTAATTACTTAATGCCCAAGTAGGGTATAATACCAATTTATATTTTTTTTAGTTTTACAACATTCCCTTATTTAAACATAGCAATAAAAAGTGATTCATTAAACAATTATACAACATAATATAAAAGTGTGTATTGGATATTTTGAGAAGGTTAATTTCTTCAACATAAATATTTACAACAAATTTACAGGCTGAAAGTACAAAAATAGACCAAATAAAGCGGTACTTTTCAGCTACTCATCGTGTATAAGACCATTTTATCCAATATATTTATTCCCATATATTCCTATATATTAATATTTTTGACTATTTTTGGCTATATATTAGGATTAAAATACCGACTTAGTGTTTGTATATAAAACATATTTAACTTTTTTATTTACTTTATTTATGACTGATTTTATTTTATTGAAATTTAAACTATGATATAAAATGTTATATATAATATAAAATTATAAAATAAAATCCATTTCTTATGGTGCATCATCCAATTGTAGACAAACACTACCTAGTGAATGTAACACTACCTAGTGAAAGTATTTCAGCCATTAACTTACATATTTTTAAGCAAAGAGATTGGGAAAATTTAATATAGGCTTTGAGATATCATAATATCATAAAATATCATATCATAAAAAATATTACCACAAATGATGCTACAAAAAAAAATTGATGAAAAATATAGAGTTATATATTCATTTAAATATAATAAACATCAGGGTGGCCTTAAAAATATGTTTTCTGTTCATATTGATTAAATCATTTTCTAGTGCCTTAGTGGAAAGGAAAGAAATGTGTAGAAAATTTGAAACAAAAAAAATTGAAATGAAAGTAGGTACGTAGAATTCCATTATACAATACGAAACTAGTGATGTTTTTTAATTATTTCTTAATAATAAAATATACATCAATTTTATATAGATTTGGAACGAGAAAATTTCCAAATAATTTTTAGATATTTAAAAGCTTGCACAGCCATTTTTCATTTAGTTTGAATGTTTTTAAAAAAATTCTATAAAATATATCTTTTCTGAAATTATTACGTCCCATCAAATATTTTTACAAAAACAGTTTAAAATTAAATTAAAAATAAGAAATTTGCTGATCTAATACGAAACGGGATGGGCGCAGGAGTCTAAAAGTTAGTCTCACAGTTTTTACGCTACGTGCATATGATCAGTAGATAAAATTGATTTTGTTTTACAAACAAATAGTCTTAAGTACTTGATTACTAAATAAAGCTTAAAGTATTGTTATGTCTTATTATAGTTAATGCATATCTATATTTACCTTATATATATTTCTTCTATATATGCACATATATAGAATTATCCAAGATAAGATATCGATTGTATGCAGCAGTTATTTAAACTCAAAAGGACGTATCCTTTTACGCTGCGTCAGTAGATGTAAAATTTTATTTAAGAGTCGATGTTATTATTCAATGTTATTTAAGGACACAAACAAATCTTCTTATTTTTCATTCATTAACATGACAGAGTCTTTACAGTACCACTGAATACAATTATTCATTCATTCATTTGCAATTTTTTCAAAGAACGTAACCCAACACTAGAAACTGCTTTTGCCCATTGAATATATATATATATATATATATATATATTTGTATTCAGTAAATAACAAATGAGTTGTTTTTAAACTCGTCTAACTGTAAATGAACCATCTGACTTTTAGATACAGTTCTCTGATCCTTTTTGTCAAAGAAAATATTTGATTGCTTTCTAAAGTCAGCATTGTGATGTGTGAAAATCAATACGACTGCGGTTTGTTTGTGCATGAATAAGTAATTGGTTGTATTCGCCTGAATTTTACACGTAGTGCTTTTCAGTCCACACACTTGCGTTTTAGTGGCCATATATGGTACTAGTGGGGTATATATTCATACATGAATGTTGTTTTAAATCCTTTCCTGAAAGTTATTTGCATGTACAATAAGTGCACAGCAACATGTTTCCATTTCTTGTTTGCTGTGCTTATATTTGTGGTTGATTTTTTGTCCTTACTGACTTAATGCAAATGGAGGAAAATGTGGAAAATGTAACCAAATGTATGTCGGATATGATATGTGGACTTAAGGTTATATTGGCTTGTTGTACATGTGCACATATACTGTTGCGGTAGAGGTAATTAATATGAAATAGTTATTTCACATTAAAGTAAATGGTTTATGAAATTAGTAAAACTAGTTTTTAGTTCAAAATAAGTTAAGTTGGAAAAACAAAATAATTCTGTAATAATAAAATTTAAACGATTTATAATTTATGTATATCAAATATAAATTGTTTCCAACTTTAAAGTATAGTAAAACCGTATACTGTGTTTATGATTAACTTTATAGCGTAGGACAATCATAAGGATTTCAATTAGTTCCCCATTAAAAACTGTTATTTTCGGGTTTTTAATGCTAAATTTTCTGGTAGTAATTATATCAATTTATTTTGAAATTCACACATGAGTTATGGCTCACTGCGAAATTTACATGTACATGACGTATGAGTAACATTTTTTTGTTCGAGCTAAAATAAGCAAATTATAAAAGTAAATGTTAATTTTAAATAAGTAATTTATAATGAACTTGATAGTTGTAGTTGCAATTTCAATTGAAGGAAAAATAATAGCGACCAAAATTTGGTTTGGTTTTGGTGCAATTATAAATCGCAATTTAATTAAGTATTCATACAAAATAATAATTGCTTTTACTTGTTATATTCACAGGCATCGGATCAGGCTAAGCGTTATGGCAACCTAACTATACAATGCAATTCGGTTTCACCAACACAGGATTTAACGAATTTTGTGCGCATTTTACCTTTACCATCCCAAGCACAAAAAGTTCCTAGGCGCGTATTTGCGCCACCACAGCCACCGAGCGAAGTCAATGATGCTGCTGATCTCAATGTAAGAGTAACTATTTGTTTGAATTCAATTAAACGGTTGACTGTGATGTCATTGTGTCTAACATTGTCTATCAATATTGCAGGATATAACACCAATTTTACGCAATGAGCTTGTTTTTGATCGTCATTCGACATTGTCCTTGCGACCTGCATTGGAGTCATTGAAACGTGAAGCCATTGATTTGGAAATGCAAATTCGACAATTGCAGGCAAATAGTTTTTCAGTTTTTTTTTTTTTGTCATTAAATGGAATTCTTGTTTTATTTGCATTCACGTAATTCTTTGTATCCTCAACAGGACTCCATTGAAGTGTTGAATCGCACACAGTCGCGTGGTATTGAGGGTCAATTGTATAATAAAGTAAATGAGTTGCAAGAGGATCTATCAATGAAGAAGTTCGATTTGCGTGCTAAACAAATTCATTTAGCTGCAATACGTGCACAGGTAAGTGGTTTCTTTTGTCTTAATTTATTAAAAGTAAATTAAATTACTTACTATTATTATGAAATTAAAGTATAATAATATATTGTGCTATTATGTGTTTGACATATTGAATTAAAGCTATAGTGTATATTATTTAAATCACGTAATGATTAAAATGGTTATACAATTTAAAATAAATCAATAGATAACTGCTTATATAATATTTAACCCTTTAACCCATAACCCATAGATTGAGGGTGAATACTGATGGACTCAAATTTTGGTATTCTTCTTCTATTTGCTGTAGATAATTTACTTAATAAACTTTTGTTGACTGCAACAAGCGGTAGAACTTTAACTCTGATTTTAGAAGCGCTGGGTTATGGTCTCTACCACTATTTGGTGATTGTCACATTCAGAATTGTTGCAATGTATCAGTCATTTAATAAGGTTAATAATGACGAGCACACTGGGAATGTGAATTCCTTAATATTATGTTTTTTTTACTGTAGGTGAAATCCTTGAAAGCCACAGTGTCAGACTTGCACACACACGTGTTCAGAAAATCTTCCCCATCAGAGTATGAAAAACTTTTGGGTGAAATCGCATTCCAGTAATTAGGGGGTGAAGCATAAGTAGCGTAGTATTTGAATTTCCAAATTTATTTGCACTAAATTTTCTATGATTTTTGATTACATCTTTTGAAATACAGAGAGAAGAAGTGTATAAAAGGGAGTGAAATAAACGTTGTCGTTTACTTACTTCCTTCATAAAATAATAGTTTAATTATACCTTTTACGTTTTGCCATTTAGATACATTACTTGAATAAACTTAACGTGTGTTTACTTAATAGTAGTATAGAAATGTGAGATATATATCTATCTTAAATGTCTTATCTTATGTTTTATTTCAATAGACATACATACAAACACGTTTTTACTCTTTAAATGACATTTTTTAAAAATTTTTGGTCCTATGAAAAAACATATTGACATAATGTTAATAGTCAATTTTCTAAATTAGAAATTTGATGCTTAATATTTTTTGGAGAAGAATGTCACTCTTTGCTAACGAGACTTTCTAAAAAGAAACTTTTTTGTGACTTTTTATCCCAAATAATATTTTTAAGAACACAAGTTGTGGCGAAGATTTTAACGTTCAGGCAAAGATAATTAATAATTTAGTTAATATAGCAATAACTTACTACGGAAATATAGTTTTCATAAAAATAGTATAGGATGAATATGAGGAAATGATCTGGTCGTCTTGCTTTAATTGTGGACAAAAATGTTTAGGTATATGGTCGACTGGAAGAGCCGTGATCTCTTGTACCTTTTTTATCAAAAATTTAAATTAATACATTGATGAAAACGTTTTGAGCTTATTATAGTCATAAAAATTATAATATTAAAAAATTTCAAATTCAATTAAAATCGCTTAAGGTCATAGCTGAGTTAGCCTATGAAAAATGAGTTGTATTGCACTCTGTGACACGTACAAAAGATATGTGTATCTACTCTAGAATAATTCAAAGTGATTATAAGCAGTTAAATTTTGTGAACATCTCAAATAAATATATTTTTCTTGTATTATAATTTCGAATATAAAGGATGAGGAAAGAAAAATTTATTTTCTTGTATAAAAAAACAATAATTAGTTATATAATTCGTATAATTAGTATAATTAGTTATACCGTATTATTTAATAGTACAAAATACATATTTTTTTTTATGGAACAATACATATGTATATTAAATAGTAGTAAAAATTATATGCTCTACTATAAAATATAGTTGAAACTATGACTATATAATACTAATACTCTAAAGACATGAATTCTTATATGATCAACATGTACAATTTATAGGACATAATATATATGACGTATATAATATCACAATAAATTTCTCGGGGTGTACCTATAATAGTTTTTGGATTATTTACTGTTAAATTAAAGTGCAAACGTTTTCAAGTCAAGAGCTTGACTTCTTTTCTACTCCCCACCACCTTTTTTATGCAGAGTAAATGTGTAATCTTAGTCTATATAAAAAGACAGTTGTGTTCTGTGCATCTTTATCTGATACCTCTGTTGATGAGCATTTAGTTAGTCGACGTTACCAACGAAGATACAAAGGTAGCAGTCGGTTCGTATAAAGAAATGTAATGCATTGAATTAGTTTATCATCGGTATCCTTATTATTTGGTACAATTGATTTTGTTGCACATTATCTATGGCTTTTTCGTATAAAGTAAAGAATGATGTTCTTTTATATATTTCTTCAGTTTTGGGTGAAGACCTGTAGGTCAAATTCATATTCTCGAGTTTCTATTGCGTCTTTGGTCTCCAATTGTAAGCGTTTGATAATCGCTAAATATTTTAATTTTTAAAAATGCGTAATTTCTATTTTCTATTTGGTATATAGAAAATATTAGATTCTTTTAAGTACATTTATCACATTTTTTATTACATATTTCTTTTATGAAATACCATAAATACAATACGATTAGTTTTCTAGATTGGATATACCGGGATTATATTTGATACTTTAATTATAAGCATTTTTCGACTTTACTTATCAATTAGATATATCTATAAAGTATAATATTACAAACTATAGTTATATGTATGTGCTCTTTTCACCAATTTTTAAATATATAAAGCACCAGTTATATTGCAGTATTTAATTAAATTTATTTTAAAAATTTTGAACTTTTTAAGCTATTAATAAACAAATACTTAAAAGTTATCTTATATTTGAAATTCAAGAAATGACTTCTTGAAGTTTTTTTAAAGTGCGTAAATTTGAATACTGTCTAATTGTAGGGGATGTTTAAAGTCATTATCCCGTCAAAAATTACTTGTTGTGCTTTTAAAGTTTATTTTAGAATCGCACCATTTGAACTTAAAAGCTTACAGACAAATACTTTTAAGTTGTTTTCAAGCTTTTACATTTGCTATAATAGGGGAAATCCAACATCCTGTCAAATTCACAATATACAAAAAAGCTCTTTCATGTGGAAGCTTTTATAAAATCTACTGAAACTTTCATGGAATTAAATAGTAGCCAATATTTTATTTCAAAAGCTTTAAGCAATTTTCCAATAAGTTTAACTTCAGTTAAGCATTTTTCTACATAACAATGCAACAGGTACTCATGAAATAATGTATGGAATAAAATTTTTTTTTTCTATCAAATAGACTTTTTTTTAGCTTTGACGTATATCTCTAAGCTATACTTAAAAAATATTTATTATATCCTTAAATTTAATAATTAGTGATTTACAAACAATGTCTTGTTTACTTTCTGAATTTGCGTTACATTTCCAGTGACCTACTTAAAAAAATTTTGAATGTCAACAAACATATCATATCCTTTCTTAAGGACATTCGTACTAAAGTAGGTCGCATTTCTTACTCACCACGAAATAGAGAGAGAGAGAGAGAGTCATTGAAACAAAATCAGCTGTCAACTTGACATTTCAACTTCAGTGAATGCGCATGTGCCCATTTGAAGGTAGCGAACCACTCCAATTGTCAGTTGCAACTCGCATAAATGTCAGTCAAGTGGTGAGCGAGCGAGCGCGAAGTCATTCAACACCATAAATTCTTACACAAGTCCTTTTTAATAAAAACCGTTTTAATGCACTGCAAGCACATGAAAAACGGCAGTTATCGTTAGTATTCGCCTGCAGTCGTCGTAATTGTGTTGTGTGGAGAAATCGGAAATGCATATTTGCACTTCCGCTGACTATAAATAGTGCGTGCAGCATGGAAACGGAATTCAGTTAATTTCGTAGCGCTTTCGCAGATGCACATAAAACGGTCGAATTGGCAACGCGAACAAGGCACACACAAAAAGTAAATAAAAATGTGCTCCATAAGCGGGTTAAACGTTTAAATGGCTTAGTTAGTTTTATTAAAAATAATAATAAATTAAGTAAAATAAACAATAAAAGTTAATGCAATCAATGGACAAATAAGCAAACTGCCACATACCGCACATCCTTTAAGGATTTCTTCAAAATTTTCACATCAAGTTTAATTGTCAAAATATTTTTGCTATGAAATTGCTCTGCCTTTGTTGACAAGAGGCACAGCCAAGGCAAGAGAGTCGTAGAGGAAAGAGAGTATATTAGAAACACGTGTTACTGCCAGTGTGTCAGTGTGTTTTTATACAAATTGTTATGAAATCGAAGTAATAAGCACACTGAGAAAAAAAACTCACAGGACATTCAGTCACGTGCTACTATTCCGAGTGAGTTAAGGCAATGGGAGCACAAAATTTTTGTGAATGAATGAAATTCAAACGTTTTTTCTAGTGGCGAAAGTTAACATGAAAACGCGGAACAGTCGTGAAAGTAATAAAAAAGGATACGCATAAAATTATAAATATTCAAAAAAAAAAAAAAAATTAAGCAAAATTGAGAAATTAGTTAGTTTAATAAAATTACGAAACTAATTGATATACTTTCAAAATAAAATTAAAAAAATTTATAGTAAATACAAATTAAAATTATAAAAAACATTATGAATTCTTCTATTACGTTTCATTGTTAAATAATTGTTAAGTAGCCTAAGAGATTTTAAATTATTTGAATAGATTAGCCCAATGTACATTTAGGACTTTATGGATATTAAGCATTTACTTGCTAAGCAGTAAGAGATAAAAAGAGGATGCTGCTAAAAGTTTCCGAATAATAAAATTTTAAAAAAAATTTAAATAAATATCTAAACTTAAACGCACAAAATTTAAAACCTTATACAAATTTTTAAACATTTAAGAGTATATATTAAAAATTTAAAAAAATGTTTGTTAATATTAATTATAAATATTTAATTAATTTTAATATTTATATAATAAATCTACATTGTATATAAATCGAAATTTAAGAATATAGTTTTGAAAGTGATATGTATTTTTAAAGAAAATACTATTTTAAGTAATATAAGATAATAATATTAATAAACTTAATAATAATTCGATAAAAAATACACGGTATACATGCAATAGTTAATAAT